CTCCGCCAGTCCTTTCCCCAGTCCCAGCCGCATCCCTTCGCCCCCCAACCCCCTCCCCTACCTAGCCCCTCCCCTAGCCCCTCCTCTAGTCCCTCCCCTAGCCCCTCCACGACCAAACCTTCCAATCACTATATTTGTCACAAGAAAGTTTTCCATGTCGACTACAAGCTGTTCAAATGTATAGGACCCAGAAAGAAACTTTTTACACTATAGGAAAAAGAGCAAACCGGTTCAGTTTAAAAAAAAGTGCACCTACGTTATGTATTTCTCTTGTTTTTTTCACGGTTAGAATTTGAATTTCGACAAAATATTTCTTTAGTACACGCAGCCAATAGATCTACCACGCACAAATCAAGAAACTGCAATAATTCCTATTTTCAAAAGGTTGGGCTCTCTACATTTTAACAGCTGGCTGGCGATATGAAATAAACGTCATAAGACTTAGAACGCAATCACAAGTGAATAAAATAATTTGTAAACGTAACTCACCTCAAATCTTTCAACAAGAATAATGTTCGAACAGTGCAGACTTCTATTGTATAAAGCAGTCTCTGAAATGTTGGTCCATGCGAAAATGACGCCAAAATATCACTGAAATCCAAACGTGTACAACAATTCCTGGAAGAAAACTTAGTGAAAATAATGGTGTAAGTCAAACATCTAGAAAAGTCAACATATTATCACTTTTTGATGATTGATAAAACAGACACGTCTAGTAAATAAGACACAACCTCATAGCATAGACTCCTGAAACGCCTTTTCAATAACACAGAAATCTTCAGGCTCATAAATCATAAATCCACACATACACACGCATATAGTAATGTATGATAAAATGGCATGGACGCATAACACCAAACTCGTGGGTTCACGCAACACTGAACACAGCACCATAGAATCTGAACAAACAACACACGTTGAAAATCCGTCGGGTAGAATGCAACATGAAATCTGAAACGCGAATTTCGCTTCATCATAGCGCATTTGCTTCAGCCGCTCGCTGCTGCTGCAATTATGGCTGCTGCTAATTTTAGACCTTCAATTAACGCCAACAATAACAACATTGGTTATGCTTTGGTTAGATCTACCGTTGTTAGTATCGCGAAGTGCAGCGCAGTCGCACGCGCAAAGAGCGAAATCATTGAGGGGAGAGTGAGTAATTTGTAGACGCCGCAGAATGATTGTCTAAAGCGTTGGGATCGCCGACGACACAACCAAAAATATTTTGTGGCCGTCCCACTCCGCCCCCCCTCTCCCTCCATCTCCCACGTTCTTCCCCCCTCCCCTCCACCCCCTCCCGCGCAGTTTGTTAGAATGGGTTAGTCTTCAGTGTAGTAGATACGGGTGGCAGGGTTTTTTTTAAAAACAGTACAAGGTGAAAGCGCTGTGATGAAGGTAACCATCACGATATACGAGTTGATACGAAATGATACACGTAGAGAATACGGCGACAACCTGGATTCATGTTGCTTCTGTTCACACAAGCCGTGACCGGCGAAAAGGGATAGGATTCAAGTCTCCATATAGATATCTAACAGTATGTTCCTAAAAATTGACACGATTGATTTGGTGTCAATCTGACGTTATTAAATACTCACAGATGATCTCATTAAAACCTAACCGGCGCCTGTTGTGTAACGATTGGACGTTTTGCTGTCGCACGCTGGAGACCCGAGTTCGATTCCCGTATTAGGAGAATTTATATTGAGTTTCTCACGGTCTTTCTGCTGGAATGTTGTATCCCTCTGAGCCCAGGTTGGCCCCAACAGGCAGGGTCGGAAGCCTGCCTCCTAAAAAATCTATCTTTTGTCTTTGAAGGCGTAAAAACACATACATTAAAATATACACAAAACAATATTCTTCTGAGCTCCTCGACAATGTGGCTTAAGCTCTCGGTGCACGTTAGGGAAATACACCTCCTTTCGTTACCTTTATCTCTCAACCCTCCTTTCTCCCCCTCCATCCATCCCCGCTCTGAGCTTCTTTTTTAACACACAAAAAAAAAAAAACACACACACACACACACTCACGTACATACCCCCTCCCACAAGTACAAATACAAACACACATACACATATATATGCACACATACCCCCACACATACGTACACACACAAGCATATACAAACACGTACACACATATACGCACATAAAAATACACAGACGCACATTCGAATGCATACATG